ATGTAGTAAATCTCATCTGTTTTCTTGATAAGGAGTTTTTAGAGTACTTTCGTTAGTTTCATTTTTGCTTATGTTCTAGAAAGTATTACTACGCAGATATTGGGATTTATTTGAGGGTGGCTAGAGTTTAAGATCGAAGAAAGCTTATGATAAATGTGCACATACGAGCGGTTTTTAATGCTTCTGTATGTTATGAATAATGCTTCTTCAGGCAAATATGAATTTTAGAGGTGAAAAGAACAAAAAGTTTTGGAAGAAAAGAAAAAGGAGGAAAAATTTGTTTCGAAAATAGTTTTTTGAATGATGAATTTGATTGTAGTGTGAAAAAAATAAGTATTGAACTAATGACACTGATTTTTAGCCATGTATGCCTTAATCTCCACTATGCAAATCTCTTTGAAGCGGCTGCTCCACTAAGTGGGTATTATCTCTAGCCATCGAAACTAAAGATTCAGAATACTTAAAGAACAACTGAACGCGGAAGTAATCTCCAATGATATATATATATCAGTTTCCGCGAAATAATTTTTTTGTTTATCTTGCTAGCTAATCAGAATTTTTGAGTTGATTGCCAAAATCATGACACCTGTTCAGCTCAAGGTGTAGTTTCAAGTGCTAACGTGTGCAACTGCACAATTTTCAGGACGGTGTTAACATACAATTCAGATATGAATTAACTTTTTCTAATCTATTCTTTATCGCTTTAACGCAATAGTATTTCTAGAGAGTGTGAATGATTACATTTTGCAGATTACAACTGTAGTGCCGATGGTTCATAGCCAACATCATGGAAATTGTGCAATTGCACACATTAGCATCAAAACCTGCTCGACTGCATATCTACTATATCGGCACGCGAAGGAACAACGGCTTTTTTGCAACAAACAATTCTCTAACTACCAACTTTCTGACTCAATCTATTTTCTTCCTTCCTCTTCTTTCTTTCTTCTTTTTGTCTAGATATGTGCGTGACATGTCTGCACATTGGTACTTCACCTAATAATTTTTGCTCTTTGAAATCACACAGTACTATTTTTTGAACGAACGTTTGAGAAATAATCTATCGCGACATTGCCACATGAGCCCTTAACGAATGCAAAATCAGTTTAATAACCATTGAGGATTGCAAACGTTTGTCTCAGCGACAAGGAAAAAACTCCAGAATAATTCATGCCAATTTGCTAATCGGATAACATGCTGCACTTTCGAACATCAAATGTGCAATTGCCTTGTAGATTTTCGTACAATGTAATGGCGCATGACTGATTTCTTCCCAGAATATTCAGTATAATTTTGATTCACGTCAAGGTAATACCTTCGTATAATAATTTAGCTCAATACTCGTTAATCTACGCACTCTTGGCGCATGAATGCTTACATGAATGCTTTACACTTTGTACTTATGCATTCAGAAAGGTTTCACTTTACATAAATTATGGCGCATGATTACGAGCAGTTTTTATGAGAAGTAGTCAATGTATGTTCTTTGCTAAAAGTCACTAAGTGGGGCTTTTCGTCAAAATTGCTCCAGATGTACACTACTTTGATTTCGACAACTGAACTGGTCTGTATGCCCGATGTATGGGAATTGATGTCCTTTGAAAATTGCTTGTAGGGCCTAATGACTTGTAAAAATTTTTCTCTGTACCTCTTATACTCAAAAATTACAACTACTTGAGCATGTAAATCACACAAGGTATCCAAAATTTTAAAACATGCTTAAGTCGCAAAATCGTGTGATTTTTTCAAAGATGCAGAGTAGTTTACACACCAGAGTACCCTCAGAGTTTTTTTTTTCAATTTTCAATTTATGTTTCACCTGTTAACAACCTTTGATTTTGAGTCTCCAGTATGGCATTGTTGAATACATTAGCGTTGCTTCTAGCTTTTCACCTCTTGCTGGTCTACAAAAACTTTGCAAAACGAAAATGACGCTAAAATACAGATCGAAAATTGTCGCATTGCATCGTTATGTTGCTCAAAATTGCTAACATTTATTACACACTTTGTGCACCTTGTACTCTTTGTAACCAACCGTATACCAAGATGGAAGGAAAGGGATGGGTTTTTTCAGTTCTTTCCTAAAAGTCATAAATATCTTTGAATCAAAGAAATTTCGATTACGTATGCGGAAAATGATTCTGACACTTCGCTGTTGGATTAATTTTTTTTCCTAAAAATTGAACATCTAAACTTCTGTGTTTGAAAGGAAGGATACTATATAGTTTTACCCGAATAGATTCAATATAATTGAAAGGCGGCAAGGTTCAAACAAAGTTCCGTCAAACGGCGGTTAAAGTAGGAGCAGCAGTGCTTGTGGTTATCCAATTTTTTTATACCCATAGTTTAAGTCTCGTGCTTACAAGGAAATGGTCAGAAGTCGAAGTGGTCAAACCAAACAAGCTGTATATCATTCGATGCAGTATAAAACGCTGACTTCAAATCTGTCTTCCTTATCTGCTTATCGCTTCCGTGGACGAAGCTACAAGCGGTTTTATTGTGAAAAAATCATACATAAAAACAGCGAAATCGAGCACATTGTTGCACTTTTAGCTCAGCTTCTGGTTTTAAAAATTTGAAGTAAGCTAGCTGCATGTTTTGGCCCAGCATTAAGGCAAACGCGGCTCTATACGGCTAAATTTTCAATTTCACCCATAATTTGTTAGCAAAATAATGGTCTTCGATGGCTTGTAGCTTCGTCCAGAAAAGCGATAAGCAGGCAAGGAAGACAGATTTAGAGTCAGCGCTTCATGCTGCATTTAATGGTATGCAGCTTGTCTGGATTGACCACTTCGATTTCTGACCATTCCCTTGTTAGTTTTCATCTATTATCCAGAGTTTTTGTGAGAAGGTGGTATTTATGTTTCTGATTTGTTTTTGATGTTTTCTTTCGCTTCTTTTGAGCTAGGACAGCGTTGTGTCATGGAGTGCTCAAGGGGCCTCCTTGTCTTTTTGATTTTATTTTTAAAACCTCTGCGATTGAACACACAGTATAACTTAGTCCTATTCTTGCACTGGAATAAAAATGTGCCGCTAATCTGTTGCAGTCTCGTGATAATCACATCACTTGCAAAAAAAATAAAGAAAAAATTGCTTGCTGGAGACAATCAAAAGCAAGCGGAGTCGTTATCGGTTTAGTTTCTTTCATTATTGACTCATTCATTCTTTTCTGCATCTTTCTTTCCACAACATGCCACCTATCGTCTTGAATTTTTTCTACAGTTAGATGCTATTAAATTTTTTTTGATCTTTCTTGTAAGGATTTCAGTCATTTGAAATTTCATGATAGTCGGAGATGCGAATTTGGGTGAGCACTCAAAATAACACTTTTTGTATGTTTTTCTTATCCTTTTTATTATGTTCACACTGCGTCAGTTACGAAAATAAGAAATCTACAAGAAATTATTCGAAAATGTTCTGGAAGTGCAGAAAATAGGTTTTTTTATTTGTGACATGCATCATTAAGAAGCTACAACTCTCTAAGTGATTTGCAAGTGATTTGAAAATTGTTTTCTAGAGAAAGTACCGAAATTTTTTCCTATAGGGCTCTTCAGTTTCTATTCCGAATTGATTTCACATAGTTCAGATTAAATAAACAAACAAGAATCTGAAGAATCACTGTTAAAGGGACCAGAGGCGTATTCATAGTCAATCAACCAAATTTTCCATGCTCGACTCAGTGACGTCATACTCCATCACTCAAATCTAAAAAAAGTAAAAGGAAGTAATATAGCTCTCTAACATCAATTCGTGATTCCAAATGCATGCCATTCACTTCCTTTTTTGCTTTTGATGAATTTTGTCATGCACAGCATGCGCTGTTCCTGCAGAGGCGAGTGCAAACAACTGTTGCTCGTATGAAGAGACGAAAATCTCTTGACACACAACTCAATGGTAATGGAACGGTGCCATTTTCCTAGCACTGAGCTGCTTTTCTAACACTCATTCAATCATTCGCTGACTCATTGACTCAAGTCGTGAAGTTACTCGCCTCACTCCACCATTTGAACCCCTACTCATGGACTTTTCTACTTTTTTAGGTTGTTTTTAGTCGTCGTCATTTGACCGGCCCGTAATTGCGTCAAAATGTGAAAAAATTGTTCAGAAGGCTTCAATAAGTTTCAATTCTATTTGTGCAAAATAACACGAAGGTTTTCTTTCTAGAACTTTCATAAACCGTTTCTTCGATCATGCTCTTGCATATCAGCGATTTTAAGCGGAACAAATTCGAAATGTTGGTGGAGAAAACAAATTGGAAAATGGCGACTGTTCACAATTATAGCCTATCAGCCCATTTTTCTCACTTATAAACCAAGCCCTGAAGTTAAAAAAGAACTAAAATCAAATTATGATCTTTTCAAAGCGTTTCCTAGCTACCGAGATTTCAAGAAAAAACCATTTAAGCATGTTTATAAGCTTTTCTCTTTCTTATGTCATTTTTTATATTCTGAGGTGTTGACAGATACTTTTGAAAATGATCTTCTCCTCTCAAACTATCTTCTATTATAATCAGATGCCGAAATCATAAAAAAATTAACATTTTTTGGAATTTTTGGTACAAGACCTATGGATTTTGATCGATATTTTTTCATCCGGACTATAACTCTTATTTTCATTCTCCCTTGCCCCACTACTTTGTTACATCTCATCATCCCGACTCATTCCGTACCCTATCAACGTACCAAAATGATGTTCACCTAATCCCTCCCCCCCCCCCCCACCCAAGAGAAAATTTGAGCACTTTAGTGTATAGTGCAATTTCTGTTCACTAGTTTATTACTCGTCGCCTTCTTTCGGCCCACTTGCCCAAATTGATTTTATTTCTCGTTAACTGCCTGTGTCGACAATGTCATTGGCATTCAGAGCCTGTCATTTCACAGAGCCGAAATTTGTGCCGAGTCGCAAAAAGCATTTGTCATTTCGTATTCACTCCAACAGCTGGCTGTTTTATCTCGCGAAGAGAAATGCCGCCGCCGCTACGAACTCGCTTTGTATTTTTCAGCAATGGATGTCCGATTGTATCAGCGGCGCTGAATTTTGTGGGTCCGTTGCGATCTCCTCCTCATGCTCTTCCGGAAGGAGATCCGCATGATTCTGATCTACTTGCTTTTTATTCGATCCACGACCGCAAACTGTCCGTCCGACTGCCGCTGCGACGTGGACGAGAACACAGTGGGTCTATTTTGCGGAACTTTTGCAGAGAATTTTGCCTGGAGAAGAGCTAAGCCTTCGGGGCTAGTCTGTAGCTCTGCTTAATAGCTGTTTTTCGCCGCCGCCGGGTCAGCCATGCGAATCCTCTTAGTTCATTAGAACTCGCTTTAGTAGCGAGCACAAGCATTGAAAGCTGCTTGGATTCTCTCGAGCTCCACATTCCACTACAACGAGGACGATGGGGGGGGGGGGGAGGCAAATGCTCCAACTGCCAGTGCCTTGTAAAGCGCAGATTTATATCGAGGTTGATGTGAATATGCCCTGGCAAACGCCACAAGTGCACGAGTGCTCCGCGACTCCGGCTAATCCAATTAGCGCAATCTCGACGACAGCGAATGATTGAGTCAAAAACGTCGGGCGAATGGCGGCGGGCAACTCATCAAAACCTGCCATTAGTCATGGGTTACTTCATAAACGAGTGATTTTACTGGTAAAAGAATTATTCTATTCTTAGCACTTAGTTAGAGATCAAAGCACCACCTATGTAGGAAGCTTTTGTGAACTGCACAGTCAAGTCTTGTCAGCCTAAAACAAAAAAGGAACAAATCCTTTGACCATTTCATTTGTCATAGCATTTAAATCGGAATATTTTCGAAAATTTTAGAAGGGAATTTTGTTTGATAATTCCGGTAGAGGTACTGTTTTGGTACTAGGTCCTCTTCTGACCAATTTTTTTTTGTTGAAGCGGAGATGTGGTCAGTTGATGAAAGGTGGCAAGGCGCTTTCAAGTGCATTTTTGAAAAGGCTGAACCTACCAATTATTAGTCCCCTAATTTCTCATGTGATTTCATACCGTTTTGCATAAGTAGGTTTCGCTTTAATTGCCAACAGAATGTAAAAGTGGAGCGCCAGGAAAGATAAAATGTAACCACTTTGAAGTAGGTCATGAATTGAATGCTGAAATAAAAATAATGTGGAAGCTAGAGAACATAAATATTTGGTAGATTTTCATGCATTCGAGATACTACGTATGTCTTATAATAGTATTTTGAATGAAAATCTACGTAGATAAAACATCTCGGAGTGCACACTGCGTTTCTATAAATATTCATCTTTTCTTGCTTATTAGTCTTTTATAATACTCGCTATTAATGAAGCCCATGAATTCTGCAAACAAACTCATAGCGGTATCATCAACACGAAAGCAGCTTGAATAAATACAAAACGATGCTACTCAAAAGATAATTCATTATTCGTTTTTTTATTGATCGTGGATTTTTCACGCCACCCTCAAAAATTCTTTTGAGGTTGAGAAATTTGGAACAGTAGAATTTTGTATTACCGCATAAGAATTTCTCGTCAAAACTTCGACTCTGTAAAATTACCGAATTGGAAGTTTTGAAACACACAGTCAAAAACGAGCAAACAAAATAAGATTTTATAGGCGTTTGAGGATTGTATCCAATATGTCACGAAGCTTATAATCTCAGTTATTTCTAGGTCCTATGTTCTGGCCCATTGCTGCTCACCCTACCGGACACGATTCCACCCGGTTTCGATGTTCTAATCATCCGGAATACTTCGATTCGCTCGATTCCAAAGCATGCATTTCGGCGAATGGAACGACTACGCGAGCTGCACGTCGAACACTGCGATCACCTGGCGTTTCTCGAGAAATTCGCCTTCAAAGGGCTCAAAAAGCTGAGGTTCGTCACTCATTCGAATTCTTCAACATGAATGGGTTCATGCGTTCATCGCGCACTTAGGGTAAGTCGCAATTACGACTTAATCACACTGCTGCCACGCGACCGTACGCGCTCGGTCACGCGCAGAACCTGTTGAATGCGTTCAAGGGGGGGGGGGGGTGGGTTTGATGGCAACATACGGGAAGTGAGAGTGTATCGCGTTCATAAGGGGCAATTTCCTGAGCAGTTAGCAGCGGTGCATTGAGGCGAACGCGCGAAAGGCGCCAAACACAACAACTCCCACGATTAGCGCGCCGGAGCCGCGTCAATGAGCCAAATCACCGCCGGACCCTCAGGGCAAAAACGCACTTGTTTTTTTTAGGTTGATCAGCTTTACGAACTGTCCAAGGCTAAACGAAATACCCAAATCGTCGTTTTCTGGAATTGGCAACGAATTTGGCGTGAAAATTCACTTTCATAGAACTCCTGTTCAGCGAGTTCACGGAGGAGCATTTAGGTGAGAGGAAAGATTTGAGCCACAATAGATGTTTTTCATTCTCCAATTTCTTCAATGAACAGAATGGGGCTAGTCCATTTCAAATGAAGCACTTGCAATCCGAAATGTAGAAATGAATTTTGACTTTTGAGTCTTCTGTTTATTCTTGTCCCAATCGGAAATTATTTGTGAGAAGTTTTACTGAGTTCAAACTCGCCGAGAACGGCAATGTTTTGCAGATCATTGCTCAATCAAGTATCAACTGATATATCACACAATAATATTGTATCGTCGAAAAACATGGGAATTATTTATGAAAACGATTTCTCAAGTTCTATTTCAAATGATTTCTCAACGGGTTTTATGCAGTTTGCTCAATTCATATTTACACTATTTCATCAGAGCAGATTATATTCGTTGAATATATGCGATGCTTTTACATTGATTTATCGATGCTGCTTGGAGGTCAAATTAGATCTCTTTCTGTTTTCAGGCTTCCTGGAATTTGCTCTTACGCAAAATTGCACTATATAATGTGGACTTTTTCAGACATGCTCACAACATCAGGGAATTGTTGATCTCTGGAACTGATCTGGCTCTATCAAGACATGCCTTTGCTGCCATAACTCAGGTCAGAATCTATACAAAGTTTGAGAACAATTTATTTTTTTGAAAATATTGCAGTGGTCCTATAATTCTACATAAGATCATAAAATTAGCAAAGCCCTGTAGCTCCATTTTCAAAAAAAAAAAAGAATTGCAGAAAGTTTATGTGGGCCTTTTTTCCATAACGGGTAGACTTTATTACTGACTGCTCCAAATTCTGTCGTAAGGGTTTTCCTAATTTACGATTTCGCATTTTTTTCAAAATCTTTAGCTTTACGAAGAGATGTTTGTTTGGCATATTCTTTTGTTCCCTAAGAGGGAATTATGAGATTTTTATAACTGACAGTTCGATCTTGAACTTAGTGCGAGACTTCGAATTTTTTGTTACATAAATTTAAAGACAAGTTTCTTTTGAAATGAGGTGAATCTGAAAATATAATTTGAAAAAGCTATGCTTTCGTGCTGACCCGCTACTTCTTCTGTTTTTTACAAATTCATAGTTTTGGTGGTATGATCGAGATCCAAGTTTTTTAGTTGGACTTCCTCACTGTGTCTGGTGTGACCGTAATCGAGCCCCAACTTTTCACCAACTCAACCCGATTTCACATTGTACACTTCAAAGAGTTAAACTGTGAGATACCTCCGCGTGCTTTCGAGGACCTTGCACACGTACATCAGGTTCGTATCACACATTTATTACAATTCTCAAATGATTTGAGCACAAATGGGTGTTTTTCACGCACATTGTGAAGGGAATGATACTTCTAAAAGCTTGCGATCCCAGTGGGAATTGGCACACAAGGTCTATTAGAGCACCTTTTATCCCGAAAAAAAAAACCCTTCCTATAGCACTTGCATGAACTAGCTGACGATATACTTACTGATTGTTTGCGCGCACAAAACTAGCAGAGAACGGAAACTACTACTCTAATGCTACCGTATTGCCCAGTACCTTTTATTTAGCTGAGAGCTCTCACCTCTATGATAATAGTCCAACGATTTCCACCTGGACGGCGGGGTTCGGGGTTGTAAAATGACGAGCTGCGGTGATCCATTTGTCAGCGATCGCTTGTCGTTGAGCGATGTTCCCCGTCGAAATCGTAATCTAACGCGGGCCACATGAACAAACACACTAATCAAAGATGTAACTATGAACGTCGATTGGACAAAGGCCAAGAATTCAAGATGGGAACACAAGTCTTGCAAAAGTTTTTTTTCTCAATTCAGATTGTCTAATAAGGCTCAGGTCAGCTTAATGAATGTGATTTTTGGTTGGCCCAAAAGTCTTGCGCCAAAATTTTTGAAAAGCCGTGGGTGCTTTCAACTAATTTTGTTCAATTCAACATAGCCTAAAAAGAAATTCATGCTCTTAACGGTGCTCAAAGAAAATATCGCACTGGCACATCACAGTACACGAGTTAGTTTAGAGAAGACCCAAATCGTTATCTTTTAATTTTTGAAACATGCTAGAAAGATCAAAATAATCTAAATCCCTTCTTTGTTATGTTTTTGAATCAATTTTCTTCTACAAAATATTAAGTTGTCCCGAAAGTTTTGTCCGTTTTTTCAATCTATCATAAAAATACGTGGAACAAAGGTAGGGAAACGCTCTAAGCACTATCCGACGCATCTTTTCCTCCTCTTTCTAAATGTCACGCCCACACGCCGACTACTCTTTTGCTCACTGAGATAAACGCCGAAATTTTGAACCCATGGTTTTTACTATGTCCAAGTTTGACAATTTTTCACAATCTTCATTTTCAACTTTTGAAAGACCTTTGATAGCCCTCAGATAGAGTAAGCAAAGGGCAATGCTACGCAATTATTTGGCATATCTAGCTGGCTTTTCAATATTTTCAAAGATAATTTTTTCAAAAGACTTCACTTTTGCGAGGTTTTAAAATACAGAAACGCTTCGAACACTAACAAATATCTGGTTTTGAAGCTTTCAAAAACCGATTACGATTATTCACTATTTTTAAGAAGCAAATGAGCGTTTACCGCTTCGAAATATAAGATTTTGCATTTTACGTGTACACGCTGGGGTGGGGTCAAATTCAAGAATTATGAAAATTTTATCGCCAAAAACCCCGCGAATTGGAGAGAAAATACACTCATTGAAAAGAGGAGGAAAAGCTGCATCGAATAACGCTTTAGTTGTGCGCCGTTTCATAATCTCTGGCTTTTGGCATCACCAAAAGTGGAATTTGATAGCATCAGAAAAATAATTCTAAAAAATCTTCAAGGCTGGCTATAGATGCCGCAAAATTGCATTATATTGCCCTTTGTTTGCTCTATCTAACTGTTGCCAAAGCTTTTCCGAAAGCGAAAAATAAAGATTGTGAAAAATTGTCAAACTTGGACATAGTAAAAACTATGGGTTTGAAATTTCGACGCTTATCTCAGTGAACAAAAGATTAATCGGCATGGATGCATGACAATTAGAAAGGGAAAGAAAAGATGCGTCGGATAGTGCTTAGAGCGTTCCCCTATCTTCATTCCACGCGTTTTTATGATAGATTGAAAAAACGGACAAAACTTTCGGGACAACCTAATATTAATGGTAAATGAATGAATTAACAGTTTGATTTACAATCTTTGACCTCGACATTTCAATTTTGTTTCGATGAAATTTCTGTATGCATAGTAAGGAGATTGCTTGTTGTAGGTTCAAAAAATATGAAGCATATTCTACATTCTTCTGAATTTTAGGTAAATATCCAGTGGTGCAGGACTTATGGACCAACCCAATAGTATCATTACGTGCAGCAAGAAACTTTGCTTTGGCCTAAAATTGCATCTACCACAGTTTTATTTTAATTGCAAAGCGCAAGTTATGAAACCAAGATCAAAAGTAAAATCAGAAGCTTTCAGCATTTTTAGCTATCGAATGTTAAGGAAGACATTTTGTGTTTTGCCTTTGTTAGTCTTTTTGCTGCGTTATGACAGCAATAATCTATTGAACATCACTAAAAGCGCATTATCTTCCACTCTATCTTAAATTCGATTCACAAATCTATTGAATGAGGGAAAACATGCATTTTCAAAATCGGATACAAAACTATTGCTCTAGAATAGTCATATACTTATACCCTTCTTCCTCCTCTTCTAGTCATGTTTTCCTTTCTATGCTGCGTGTCACATTTCTGCAATGACACTCTGTTTTCGCATTAGAGACGCATATTCGAGTTTTTGCGAACTACTAAGTTATTCATTGACTTGATGTTTTATTTTGCGTCCAATTTACGTTTCACGGAGTTCAAAGCAGCGTAAGGGGAAAGTGTATAATTGGAGGCTCTGTGTTTTTCGACATCTCATTACAAAAAGTTACTGTTAGTATGTACATAACAGTATCGGACAGATCCCCTCCCCCCTTCCTCACGCTACACGGCAAAATCTGCAAAAATTTAGCTTAAGCTGATTGTCTCGCACTCGTCTATAACTAGCAGGGCACGGAAGAGGTAGCTTTTGCAAGATGCAAAATACGAAGTCCTCCTTGACTTTCGCAAATTTCACGTGGTCCCCTTTGACCCTAAACCTGTAAGAAAACCCTCAAACGAAACGTCGACTGAAAAAACTTCACAATTTTTGTGTCTTTTCGGCTCTCAAAAATGATACCCCTTTGCTTTTTGTCCCAAAAACGATATCCAACTTGCTTACAAGCTAATCGTGCCAAGCTCTAATAACTAGTCATTAATCAAATTTGTAGAATGCTGTACAAAATTCTAAAAAGAGCAAAAATCATTTTGAGAGACTAACCAACGCATCCTTCATTTGAAGAAATTGTGTACTCCCTCCCTACTTCCACTCCCCTCCCTCCTTCTCCCCCCCCCCCCCAACTCCGAAAAATTTTGCGCTTACAACTGTACTGCATGGATCAAAAATGCATTTTTTTTACTTTTTCAATTTTCACGACCACCACTTTACGATGCTACCTCGATGTTTTCACACATTGTTATTGCTTTCTAGACCGCGATTCCTTAAGGCTTTTAAGAGCTTTTATGTGTGCCGGTGCAGTGTCTAGACTCTCTTTTCATAAAGTTCATAACAATCTTACTAAATACGCTGAGAGGAGGGTCATGCGCGAATTGCATCAGTAGATTCATGCATGGTACATCAAATATTGTTATGAACGCAATGATGGATGGATGACCTCGATACGATAGTTTTAATGGACCCCCTCATATCACAAATGCAAATCTGACATTTTACGAAGAAAAAACATAGAACTAGTTGTGTGCTTTATTGCACAGCGATTACGTGAATTGAATGTCGGTGATATACAAGCATGAAAGGTTTGTATTTGATGTCTTCAGGCCACGCTTGAGATATCAAAAATTCGTCTTGCAAACTTTGCAATAGTGTCGTTGCCTAAGAAAGCAAGGTTTCTGCTAAAGATGGAGCATTATCTACGTAAATTATAATATATCATGTTGCACTTAATCTAGGGTTTCCATGCGATGAAAAGTTTTGAAGCGCCAAAAAAACAGCATCTGTACTTAAATATGAATAAGTGTAATCTTTTTTTTGGTAATTGAACTGAATGGAATGGTCATTCTGATAGAGAGCCAAAAAATGGAAATACTTATCAGAGTTTATGAGAATGTACAAATATGCTTAGGGAGCAATGTATGAATATATATAAGTTGTCATATAAGTTTTATCACACTACAAGGGGAACTTTCTCATAACTTTCTCGAAAATATTTTCCTCATATGTAGATAACGTGAAGAGTTGTTGTAGCCTCTTGATATGTACATGTCATATATGAGAAACCCAATTTTTGATTTTTTTTTCCATTGGGAATTTTCGACAATTCCTTGCTTGCACTACTGAGGTCAAACTTTGTATCACTGATGTTCCTAGAACCACAAAAATATAAAAGAAAAAACTGAGGGAGTCTTGAAAAGATGAAGAAAGAAATGGAGGCTAAAGTGCCACTACAGCATTCCTTCATATTTATTGTGACCCACATCTGCGTAGACGTAGAATAGATGCCAAGCCTTTCATCCTTTCCTTAGGTATGCCAAATTTGAAACTGTCGAAATATCTAAATTTTTCCAGAACGGTTAACTTCAGCTAAATTGTAAATTTTTACCGTTCATTGTGGCCCATTACCCGTGGCTATGCGGGCTTTTACCAGAGGGTACACCACCTGGTCTACCTACTGTAAAGTGTTTTCATGAATTGTATTGAGACTGATTATTCGAAGATAAGGTTCTAAATTTAAGAAAGCATCATTTGGGAATCTTATACTTCTTGTGCACATAGATCATTCAGTCTAGGGCATTTAAAGCAGAATAATTAAAATCTTTCTCAGATATCACTTGATGAATTCCTCAATGGTTCAAAACTTTTCTCATCGGGTTTTTCCGTAGGAAGGATCAAATTTCACCAAAGTAACGTATCTTCTTGTTGTAATAAAGATGTAATCTGCAGAGTGTCTTCGTGTTCGTGACACCATCTCACAACTGTCGTGTAATGTGAGCTTTCGTCAACTGCTATCTGAAATCCGAGACTGTTTGTGCGTGATGTTAGGAATTACAAAGCTATGTGAAAATGTGTTATGATAGTGATAGTGATACTCTGGGACCTTATGGCACTTTCCTGCGAGATAAAAATTCTGAAGACTTTTGAATTAACTAGCATAGCGTTAAGGAGTTTATGCAATTTTTTCTTACGAAATAATTTGTAATGTACGAATTCGCAGTATTCACAATATTCTGTTACACATCAAGGAAGGAGCATGATGTGGAGGATGAGGGGAGGGGGGGGGGGGAAGTTCCTCGAGTAGCATGAAGGATGATACGCATGATTTGTCTTCATTTACATACATAAGGCTGAACATTAAAGGACCAAGGACAACTTTTTTTTACAAAATCGCTGAAAATACACCATTGGTAGAGAGAACGAATTGCAAGTGCTTTTTAAACTAAAAATTTGTTATTTGCAATATTTAGTAGAAACTTCACGCATTAATGAGCTCCATAATGGATTGTAAACCTTATAGCTTCCGAACTAATCTTTTTCTTCGATGAAAGCCAAAATCGTTGGCGATGGAAAATATCCCAGTAATAATCATTATAGATCTAGGTCTTTGTGTTTTGTGTTGTTTTTATCCACATACTTCTGTATCCTACCAAGATTGAGGATTGGCTAATTTTTTGTCTCATGTGTTGCCGAAATTTTTTTCATTTTTCTTTCTCTTCTATTGTGGTGCGCCTTGAGTGCATCTATGTTATGAAATAATATTATCAGAAAATAAAATAATTACGTATAGGTTCTGATCCAACGAAGTCGAATATCTACCATTGCCACTGATGCCTTTAGCGGGATGAGCACCGTTGAGACTGTTGAACTTTACGATAATAATATCGAGACCATTGCTGCAAGAGCTTTCGCATGTGAGTCATCAGTTTGATATTTTTACTCATGAACCCGTCTTCAAGCAAACATTTTAGCAATTGTGAATCTTGGACGAATTCGGATAGCACGTAACAACATCCAAACCCTGCAAACTGTCGAATCACTGCTCTCAGAAGCGATTCAAACTCGTGTCGAAGAAAATACTTTGGAATGTGGCTGTGATCTACTTTGGATGACAGCACTTGAGGTAAGAATTATCATGAGCCTTTGCATGGGAGACTGAGTTGATTCGTTGAAAATTTGTTGATTCGTTGGAAATTTGCCGCAAAGCTTGCCCAATCCAGATGACAAAAAAAAGAATTGTACCAATTTGTGGAGTTGTATTAGGTTGGTGCAAAAGTAATGCGCGTTTTGCGAGTTCTCGCTTTGACGTGTCAAAACTTTCTAAAAAATCTATATTTTTCAATGCGGTAAAAAACATTAGGGGCACAAACCTTTCGCAATACAGCGCACATCTCCCTATACTCACATCGTCAATGGGCAGTAAAATATGGACTGATAAGCAAAAAAAGTTCTTTTCTGAAACCTCAATTTTAACTGATCATAACTTTCTTCAAAATATGTTAATAAAGATAATATGTAGCCTTTGTTGTAGCCGGAAGCTTGTAGTACAAAAAAAAGTTGAAAAGGGCTAAACAGAGAGGATCTGCGAAAAGGAAAAAATTAAAATCCAAAATTGCCCGCTTTTTTGGACATTTTTTCGCAGGCCTAAAAATCCCAAAATATGGAATTTTTTTTTAATTTTTGCGTAATGAACAGCTACACAACTCTGTAAAAACTGTCAGTAGGAGGCCCACCCTTACGCTTACAGAAATGAGCAAAGCTTTGGCGATTGCCCTCTTCAAAGGAAATTTATGGGTCACAGAATGATCAAAACGACTGCCCATGTTGAGGCGACGAAATCTCAGTCTAGGTAATTTTTAAGAAAATAGTAAATTGTGCTTAATATAGACAATTTCCATTAAATATAGTAGCTAGAGTTTCAAAAGTTTGCCTTTATTCGGGCTTGATTTCTGGCCAGAAAAGTAAATACAACGAAATTCTGGTTTTGAGTGCGGCTGTGTGAAGCTCTCTTATTTTTTAACTAATGAAGCTAGATGCTCGTTTCAACCACCATTGGATAGAGGATGAAAGGAGCTTCTTGAAAGTGTGCTAAGTGTTTTCCAAAGAAGAAAGTTGATGGGGAAAAATTGTCCTAAAACAAGGGCTAGAAAAACGCGCATTACTTTTGCACCAACCTAATACTGTAGACGAGGCAGTGATCATGTGCAGTTTCAAAGAAGTTCTACAGTTAATAACGTCTTCGATCAAAACTTTCTTATTTGAAGGCGACACTTAAGAGCTTATTTCCTTTCTGACCAGTACCATGAGATCTCTGAAGAATTTCCAATTTTGTTTCAAGCCCAACATGGTAATTGTGTTGAGTAGAACGATGTATATTCCTCATGCTAACATAATTAATTTAGATATGTTAAAAACATATTATTCTATATAGCGCGACAAACTCAGCGAAATGGTTTTGAAAACCATTGTCCACATAAATGCAGCAAAAAAAATTAGTTAATCGCATCTGCATACAAAAAACCCTACAGAGCCTCATTTTGCTTGTATACCCTCTACATCAGAATCCACACTGATCCGTAATAAATTTTCTCGGCTCTGAACTGACTTATGATCGCTCGCCTCACATTCTTTAAGAAGGCAAGCATTGTTAGAAGACCTTCCGATCAAGTGCCGCTGTCAGTTCACCGTGTTTCCTGTACCTGAAGGTGTTTTGTAAACTGAATTGGTTAAGGTAATGCGCAAAAAGGAGAATCTGAACAAAATTGTGGGAAAATTTATAAACAGCTTGTGAGTAGATTATACAAGACGCTCAAATTGAAGTAATGCCACCTAAGACAGATGCGCAAAACTACATGATTTCGGAGACTTACGAATAGTCTAATAAACAATTGATTGCGGCCAAGACAAAAGAGGACAGGTTCTATTTTTTTTGGAATCTGCTTCTGAATTTCTTGATAGATTTCCCAGAATTAGAGTTTGCTGTTATATTTGTGCTTGACCATGAGACCAAAATGCACGAGGGGTGTGCTGCTTCTTTCACACCAAAGTTCGCATTCTGTGATAGCATTTCAGTTTCAAAAAAAAACATTTTTATTACACCAAGGAAGGTGATGTTTCAAAAACGCTCATGCTAAGAATTTTATTTGCGCATGGTCAAATAAGTCGTGAGTTACATGGAGTCCGGTATCGCCAACACTGTCTTTACGTTACCGGAAACAGAGAAATCTTAACAAAAGTGATATACTTTTTCGTGACTCTTAGCAGTTAGGCAGTCCTGGAAAAATCAGAATAGTTCCAAGTACAAAGACACAGGTCAAGACACTCAATCATGGTCCGGATAAGAGAAATGTACATTTTCGATTTCTGTACATGCGCATCAAGCTTTAGCACCGTGTAGATCATGGTTTAAACTACAAATCCAAATCACTGAAGCTTACAGTAAGTATGCGGTATATGGAGGTAATCGCACATCATCGTAAACCATCATAAACCTAGCTGAAACTTGGTCTAGGGGTATTTCACGGCATGCTAATCAGAGAAACGATTCACATCTTGCTCAATGAGGCCTTTCATTTACAAGGACACATCGGGGGGATAGATAGGTTCCGCTCAGTTCATAATATTTTCCATTGGTATAAAGGCGCTTCGTATACATACAGGTTTGATACGGGAGCGATCATTGCACTTCTTGAATTGTTTCTAATTATTACGTTCAATTTTTCGTTCAAGACAAAGCTAAAATTCTCCAAAGTACTCATTCAAATGTTCAGCCACTCCGCACAAATTTGTGCGACTTCAGTCCAACTTTATCCAATTTTTTTACAGGATAAACGTCTCGCTGATGTGAACTACTGCAGCGCAAGTGGTGTACACCGTACTGTGCGGAATTACTTGCGACAGACTTGTTACCGTACTGCACCCGCTACAGTTGCTGCGACTACGGAGCGAACTTTTGCGGTAACGAATCACGACAGGATGCGTGGTGAGACCACGAATTCGGTTAGATGTCATTTGTCTGTCTATACTATTGTGCCTATCTTTTGTATAGCGATGCTTTTGTAACCTCACATCGCGTTAATGCTTCATCTACTCGACTCTCATGCATTGTGGTACTGCAACCAGGTTGTTGTGTGCATTATCTACAAAATCCTCGATCTTTCCATAGCCATATTGTTTCGGGTTCATATGCGTCTTTGAACTTCATTTAAGGAGTTGCTTTCAGAGTTTTTTGTTTGTATGAATTGCAATAAATACTTTTACGGAGTACAATTACCAATTAAACGACAGCGGCTTCGTTTGCTAGCGCAGTTTTGATATTTCGCAACTTGCAATACCACTGCTTTCTGCTTCGGAGCGGTTCGCACTGGTCCACCTACCTGGATGAGCTCCCACTCCTCACACAAACGAAGTTTTCCGCAACTCATTTGAACTGAGGGAGTCTATTGTTCTGCTTTGGCGCTTATTCCACACTAGTTGACCCAAGAAATGAAAATCGCGGATTTTGCTGAAACTTCGCCTAGAGAGGTTACTTTGCACGCTGATTACGAATATCACACTTATGTCGCACGGTAGTGCCATCTGGCGGAGTTACGGTAGGAACAGTAGGGGGTGTAAATCACTGATTTGCCCCAAACTTCGTCTAAGAGGGTTATTTGGTAAGCTGGACATGAATATCATATTCATTTCGTACGGTGGCGCCATTTTTCGAGTTACGATGGGTTACGGCAAATGGCTAAAAATCGCGAATTTACTCAAATCTTTATCTGAAGGGATTCAAAAGCATGCTAATTGCAAGTGCGTTGCTGGAACAACGAACGCTATTGTAGAGCTGTAGTGCGTGGAAGAGCAATTTTTTCGTTTTTGAGCAAAACTGCGAAAATCCACGAAAAGGATTTATCCTGCGAGACGAGTGCGACATAGGTGATCAGCACGGCAAAAAGGGCCTTCGTCATCAGCATGCTTATGAATCCCTCTAGGCAAAGTTTGAGCAAATTTGGGATTTTTAGCCATCTACCGTATATCCACCGTAGCCCGCTAAAATGGCGCTACCGTACAGAATGAATATAATTTTCATGTTTAACGTGCCAAATAACCGCCCTGGAGAAGTCTGGCGCAAATTTGTGATTTCGACCCCCCCCCCCCCCCCGTAATCCTACCGTGACTCTACCAGATGGCACTACGGTGCGAAACAAGTGTGATATTCGTAATCAGCGTGCAAAATAACCCCTCTAGACGAAATTTCAGCAAAATCCGCGACTCCCATTTTTTGGATCAACTAATGTGGAATAGTACCGTTCCGCCTGCCAGTTTTGGAATGAAACTAATCAATGTTACTGTGAAAAAGAATGTTAGAATGAAATGTTTGGCGCCATTCCCCCACTATTTTGGTTGTCGGAGCTAAGGTGAGTTGCTGACATGATTGCTAGATGAATCCATGACTCTGCAAAAAGTGCGAATACATGCTCAGTTACTCAGGACAGAAACCGTGTAGATCTTACTGGCGCCCAATTTATGAAAGATATACATATTAATGGAGCTCAGTCTTTGCCTTGTCCTCGATAACTGGTCATTTTGACCGCTTTCATTACAACAGCAGGACAACGTAGAACTCCTTGATCCATCGGCTGTGTTGAGGTGGAACGTATTTAATCTTGCAACAGCAGGATTACTTACGTTTCCAGCCCAACCGGTCGATGTCAGACGCCGTAGCAAGGAAGGAAAAAGAACAGCCAAAACGAGGAATAAGAGAGAAATGAGGAAGTTGACAACGCGTATGAAAAACGTTTGAGCATGGATCACAACTGGATGACTCATAGTGTCAGAATAGGTATGCAAGTATAGTCGATTCGTAGCACGCAAAAAATGCACGTATCGGCGTCTCTCTGACCGAGCGCTCTTTCGCTTCTCTTACCATCCACTGCCTCTCCCATGCACGAGCTATTTCGGTTGGATGCAACTGCGCCCAGTCTTTGCGTATCATGAACCGCGTACAGGGCTCGGCACCAGGGGAATTTCAAAACGAAGTCCCGTTTGATATTGAAAATTTTGTACGAAGTCCCTTTTGACCTGTTTTGAAAACCCGTCATCATTTATATTATGTCAAAGTATGTAGTAGTGTTTTCATGCATTTCTGATTTCATGGAACAACTTTTCACAGCCTTCTGAGCTTTTTAAGTTGTCGAATCACATCTTGAGAAGCAGAAAAAGCCGATTTTTCGACTGCGGAGCAGACCGAGTGGTTTTCAAATTGCTATAAAACGCTGAAAAGAGAACATTATGAAACTGTTTCATCTCCATACGTAATCTTTTACAGTGTAGATACATTTTATGTAAAAAAGTATGAAAAGTTATGTGAGCAAAGTGTCGGTGCCAGCTCAGCTGGCACCCAGCTGGCATGGTGCCAGCTAATTCAGAAAAAAGTTCGGCAGAGCTTTCATTCACATAAGTTTTCATAAATTTTTGGGCCGTAGTTCCGGTCCACCAACGCGCATGCACACACCAAATTTGGTGTCATACTATTGCGTTTTGGCTGAAAACAACGCCTTTGTTTGTTGATGGACAGCTTGCCAATGGCATGCCGGCGGCATTTTTGCGGCAGTTCTCCGCCTCGGCCCCTGTAGAAACGATATCCCCTTTGCTTTCCGCCCTTGAAACGATATCCAGCTTGACCCGGCGCCAGCTGTGCTGAGCCCTGACCGCGTATCCTTCTATATATATAAAACCGAATGGTGTACTTGTCTGTACGCTGGTGGATGCTGTCTGTACGTCCTCGATGGTGTTTTTCTGGTCGATGGTGTTTTCGTGTCTGTCGTTTTCCAGTATGGAAACTTGCTACTACTTCCACCAAATTTATCGATTGATTGCAAATTTTGAACTACGGGGCTCGGAATTGACACAGGGGGGTAAGCGAACATGCTGATTACGAATACAATATCAATTTTTAGAATTATCAGTTACTTTTATCATTTCGTCGATTTTTTTGCAAAGTTCAAGCTACGAGGCTGGGAGTTGGCACAGTGGGGTAATCGAGCATGCTGATTACGAATACGATAACCATTTTCAAAAATGCATTACTTTTATCATTTTATTGATTTTTTTGCAAAGTTCAAGCTACGGAGTCGGGAGTTGGCACAAGGGGGTAATTGAGCATGCTGATTACGAATATGATAACCATTTTCAAAAATACCCACTACTTTTATCATTTTATCGATTTTCTTGCAAATTTCGAACTAAGGGGCTGAGAGTTGGCCCAGGGGGGTGATCGAGCATGCTGATTACGAATGTGATAACCATTTTCAAAAATGCCCATTACTTTTATCATTTTACTGATTTTTTTTGCAAAGTTCAAGCTACGGAGTCGGGAGTTGGCACAAGGGGGTACTCAGGGATTCGCGCCGTGCGAGCGGTCCTCCTATAAGGGCTAGCGTACAAGCGGTCGACATAAGCCTAAAGCCTTCGTGCGTGCGGCAAACAGCTGAAGCGCCGTCCTAGCGGCAGGCAATGTTATCGTGCAAACGGCATGCAATACAGTTGTTCGAGCGAGCATCCAGCAATGCGCCCATCTTATCGGTCGACAATACATGTTGCCGTGCAAGCGGCCAACAGTGACCTCTATTTTCTGCTCACTATTTTCACACATTGTGAGCGTAAACGGTACCTGTATGAGATGCGATGCAGTGTTTAGGCTGGCTAAGCGTTGACACATCGTGTTATGAACAGTTTCTTTTACCGCAAGGCTGGCTGGAATGAACCTGGGTGAGGCTACAGTTACCAAGAGCGATGGTGAGGGCTTCCCCATGAAAAGTTTGGCAATGCTGCAAGCATTGATCCGTGTTCCCAAAATGTGTAAAGGATTGATCTATCCAAGAAAAATGGTCAAGATATCGCAAATACATCTACTCCAAGAGCAAGCGAGCGGCCGACTTTCCCCGCGCAAGCGGCGAACATTAGAGACCGTGCGGGCGCCCCACATTAACCGTGCCAATGCCAACGGCCCTTGACGACCGTACAATCGCACACACCGACGAGCGATTGTAAGGTCGTCGCTGGCCGCCCGCACGGCGCGAGTCCCTGAGTAATCGAGCATGCTGATTACGAATTTGATAACCATTTTCAAAAATACCCATTACTTCTATCATTCTATCGATTTTTTTTGCAAATTTTGAACCAAGGGGCTGGGAGTCGGCAAAGGGGGGTAATCGAGTGCTGATTACGTATCGCAGCTACAAAGCGCGAGCTGCAAGTTACAGTTTCCGTTTCCCAAGCTGCGATATCATCTGAGTTGATCTTTTACAGAATTTAATGCGCCATCGTCACGTCAACAACTTGGAGCGGTGATGGGATTCAAGATATCGAGATCAGTGCAACAACTTCAAGCCGTCGGACGGCATCATCCTGCATCACGTTTTCTCTTGATCATTTTTGATAGAATTGCGCCTTATTGTATTTTGGGAATGCATCATTTTTGATAGAGAATTGCGCCTTATTGTATTTTGGAAACTACGCCTTTTATGCCGCCTAAAAAAGAACATCTTGGAAGCTTAGTCCTTTGCGCGCCAGTATGAAAATTCCTAGGACTAAGCTTCTAGCACGCCTTTGACAAAATACTCAATTAGCTAAAGCAATATGTTGAAAGTCAATTTTGAGATGCGCCAAAGAAAATGATAGATCGAGCTTTCACTAGTGTAGTAGCTGTATGCTGTATGTTATTTGTTATATTGCGCCGTCGTATTTTTTATCATAAAATATTGGTGAAAGACAGGGTTTAATTACCCAAGTTTGAGGTTTCCGACAATAAAGTGGTTGAGTGGTTGGTGTTGGTGAACAGTGTGAACCACCGAGCAAATTTATGGTGCATTCGACTTAAGGACAACAACGACACAAATACTGGTACGAGTAGACACGCCTCGCCTCTTCAACTTGGTCTATAATTGCGCAGATTTAAATACTAACTTTCTTTGCGCAGATTAACCAGTTATATGGTCATTGACTACTAACTTCTATTTCAAAACGATACCAAGGTTTTTTGCAACTCTACCTTGGTCAGTACGCACGCCATCATATTTGTCATATCCAAATAAAAACCAAGGTTTTTGCATTGCCACCTTGGTCACTGAGTCTAATGTTGGGTCCTACTTCCTTAAAGTGAACTTAGCATCCAATGTGGAAAAAAGCCAAGAGCTATCAAAATTAGAGATTCTAGCCTTGAGAGATTCTACTAAGCGAGCACAAGTACAAGCGCAAATATTCGAGCTCAATGCGATCTCCAAATTAGTTGATGATTCACTAGCAACATTTACGGCCACAGTTGATTCTCTGATCGACACTTTGAATGAAGAGCAAGAAGCTCAATCGCAAGAATACACAGACAAAGCGCATGCAAACTCAGACAGCGCGCGATCACTCGCTATCGACTTAGAAGCAAAAATGTACAGCGCGCATGATCAGATGAATTTCGAAGCAGACAAAACAGTATGGGAAGGACAGATAATGGCAAAACCAAAACTGCCAGCTATCCCTATTCCGATTTTCTCGGGTAAAGCGTGGCAATTTGAAAACTTTTGGACGCTATTTGAGGCCAACGTTGACAGTCAACCATTAACAAAATTGCAAAAGTTTAACTATTTGGTAAGCGCTCTTAGGGGGAAGCGCGAGAAACTATACAGCGTTACCCCATATCGGAAGATAATTATGATCTTGCGCTAGAGCTACTTCGGAATAAGTACGGAGATGAATTCAGACTCATTTCAAGCCTACAACGTCGTCTTGAGGGGGCGAAAGCGGAAAATAGTTCCATTCCAGCGCAACGAAAGCTTTTAGAAAATCTCATACCGATAATAGCACAGCTATAGAAAAAAGGTGTTGAACTGAAAGGATCCTTCACATCACAAAAGATTCTTTCGAAGTTCAATTCTTCCATTCAGCGAAAAATCTTAGAACAAAAAATAGAAGGATGGCGTACGGAAGGGGATTGGAAAATCAATGAACTTTTAGAAGAATTAGATAAACAAATAACTAAAAAAGAGCGCATAAAGGAAATGGTAACAGAGGTCACAGACGCACGGAATAATAAAATTAGATCAAGTACATGGAATCCAAACACCGTAGTACCAGTATGTTTGTTTTGAAAATCGACGCAACATCGCTCGATGTTTTGTTCTAAGTACACAACAATCGAGCAGCGACGCCAATTCTTTGATGAAAACAAAAGATGCTTCAATTGCGCGAAAGAGGGTCATTCGGTAAAACAATGCATGGGGGCAAGTTGTAGATGGTGCAGCGGGAAAAAACATCATCACACTCTTTGCCCTATGCGAACACGAAACGGAAACAGCAGAGAATTTACAAAAGCGGGTTATTCGCAGGAACCACTATCAAGAGCAACACCAATACAACATAAAAGGAGTAGTAAAGTAAAAACAGCACAACGGTCAAAACCAGCAACTGGAGCAGCCCACCCAATACAAACCATCGAACCAGAAAATGATGACTTCGAAAAGGGAAAATTCACAACAGGGGAAGACGACAACAATAAAACCATCGTTTGTCACAATCAAAATTCAGCCATAAAAACAAAAGAAACAGTACTTTTGCTGACGGGACAAGCGCGGGTAAGGGACGCACAGAACAACCTCTGGAGAGAGGTTGAAATTCTCTTTGATACTGGTGCCTATAAATCATTCATTTCGCAAGCACTAGCAAAAGACTTAGGGCTGGATAGCTCAAGTACACAGGAGTTGTTAATGTATACTTCGGTAACGCGAACCCCCTACCAACTAAGTGTTCGGTCACTACACTGGATCTATGGGACAAAGAGAACAAAAGACATACTTACTTAGATACTTAGATGGCCCGTCCTCACGTGACGTGCGGGCCCCAGTACAGAAGTCGCCATTGATCCCTGTCCCTCGCTTCGGACATCCACGATCTTCTTGGTCGTCGTCGGTGGCTGCGTCCACGAGTTCCAGGGGCAAGAATCGTATCCAGCTGATTTCTCAGCTGGTCCATCCGTTCCACGAACACGTCTGCCCATCTCGTCGGTGGTCTTCCTCGAGGACGTTTGGCTTCGCGAGGAATCCACTCAGATGTTCTTAGTGTCCATCTATCGTCCGTTCTTCTCATTATGTGACCGGCCCATCGGTGTTTCGCTTTCGCAACGTATTCCGCTGGGTCACGAAGACGGGACATTCTTCTCATATCCGTGCTGCGAAGTCCGACTAGATGTTGCTTGTGTCGGGTCATCTTCAGAAGACTGCGCTCGAGCGCTCTGTGGGTGGTCCTTAAAGCTTTCGACGTGGCTACGGTGTCGGCCCAAGTCTCAGCTGCGTAGCAGAGCGCTGGGAGAACGGTTGAGTCGAACAGGTGGGCACGAAGCTCCGGGTCCGTCAGTTGGTCGGTGGCTTCCTTCAGAGGCCCGAAGGCGGCCCAGGCTGCTCTTCTTCTCCTGTTAAGTTCTTCCCTCAAGTCGTTCTCCATGTTCATCGAACGTCCGAGATACACGTAAGAAGACGTCTCCATGATAGGGGTGCCTTCCAATTCCATTTCTGCATCTTCGCAAAGGGCGTTCTTCATGAACTGAGTCTTCTTCCGATTTATTCGCAGTCCGATCTTCTTCCCTACTTCGTTTAGTTCCTTCAGCATCGCCTCTGCTTCAGTGATACTGCTCGAGAAAAGGACGATGTCATCCGCAAAACGAAGGTTGGATAGGAATCTCCCATCAACTCGTATGCCTCTCTCTTCCCAGTCTAGTGACTTCATCACCCACTGCAAGGCCGCGGTGAACAGCTTTGGCGAAATAGTGTCGCCTTGTCGAACCCCCTTCCCAATTGGAATGGTTAGGGGGCGATGGAATAGCTGCATCGTTGTTGTACAGTCCTTGTAGCAGTCGGCTAGTGTCCTCACGTAAGCTGGTTCCACTCCTTGATCGACTAGCGCAGACAGGATGGCGTTGGTTTCGACGCTGTCAAAGGCTTTCTCGTAGTCGACGAAGGTTAGGACGAGAGGCAGTCGGTACTCCCGGCAGACTTCTATAACCCTCGAAACGGTCTGGATGTGGTCCATGCAGCTGAATCCTTTGCGAAATCCAGCTTATTCTTGGGGTTGGGCTTCATCCAGTGTCCTAGATATGCGTGCGAGGATAATCTTCGTGAAGAGCTTGTACAGCACACTCAGCAGGCATATTGGACGGTAATTTCGAAGATCTTCCCGTTCACCCTTCTTGAAAAGAAGGACGGTTCTTGACGTTCTCCACTGGTCGGGAATCCTCTCCTTCTGAAGGTAAGATGTCAGGTGCGACGCGAGAATCTCGTGTAGACGTTGTCCTCCGGCTCGCAGAAATTCGACGGAAAGATGGTCTGGTCCTGGAGCCGTGGATGTCTTCATGGTCTGAATCGCCGTGCGCACTTCAGCAGGTAGAATTCGTGGTGGTACTTCTCCAGTGGGAACAACGGGCATCGGCACGGGTGTTGATGAGCGGAAGAGGTTGGTATAGAAGTTCTTCGCGATAGATTCCATCTTGTATCGGGAAGAAGTCGGAGTCCCGTCTTCGTTCAATAGTGCAGCCAGCGGTACGTGATATTCACAGAGGTCCCTTCGGCATTTCTTAAGACTTCGTCTTTCTTCGGCTGCTTCCAGTATCTTGGCTTGCCTGTACTTCCTGAGATCCTCCTGCAAAGCAGTTCTGCAACTGGCGTTGGCTATCAGTCGCTCGAGATGGGTTGCATTCGGATCCTGCCTCAGAAATCTTCTTCTTTCGAGCAACTCCTTGGTGGTCTTCGAAATACGTTCCAAGTTCTTCTCAGAAGTCACTGAGGCACATTCTCCGCAGGCTCGCAATCCTTTCAGAAGCCGGTCGTAGTCGTACGTTGGGTCCTCCTCGATGGGCCAGTCACATCTTGATATGAGCTCCTCCAGCCTGTTACCGTCGTAAACGACTTCCTTCCTTCTCGCGGCACTGTGACAGACTTTCTTTTCCAGCCTTCGGCTGAGTCGTATCTTCGCTCGAAGGAGGCGGTGATCGGAGCCACTGCAGAAGGATGGAACTACTGAGACATCGAGCAAGCTCCACCTTCGGTTGGCGAGAATGTGGTCGATCTCCGCGTGAGTCGTTCCGTTGGGCGATTCCCATGTCCACCGGCGATGTTCTTTCTTCATGAAGATGGAATTTCCATGGAAAAGTCGTGCGGCGGAGAGAAGCCCAACAAGACGGTTGCCGTTTTCGTTCCGGAGCCCATATCCAAACTTCCCGATCCTATATTCCTTTTCTAGTGGCATCCCGATTTTCGCATTGAAGTCGCCCACAACATACTTGTAGAAGGACTTTTCGTTGCGGACGACCTCCTCCACGTCTTCGTAGAAAGCATCTAGTTCTGAGTCGTCAGCTGCTGATGTTGGAGAGTAGCAGCTGATGATGCTGATGGTCTTCTGACGTGGAGGGCGTAGTCGTAGGATGGCTAGTCGGGGTGATAGGATCTCGTGCGAATCGACAAGATGGACGATAAATGGGTGGACGACAAAGCCAACACCTCCCACGTTTCGTGATGGAACCTTCTCACCACGAATGATGAGTGTTCCATCATTCATCTGTCGCACGTCCTTCTTCCTGGACTTCGTTTCCTGCAGAGCGATGATGTGGTACTTGATGTGCTCTGCAGCGTCGAGAAGAGCGTGGAGGTCGGCGTTTGTGGAGACTGTCCTGGCGTTGTAGGTGCAGAGCATGAGGCAGTCTCCGTGGCGTGTCGTCCGGGCAGACGTGTCGTTTTTGTCCAATCCAAAAGGCGCCCTGAGGACCCTGACATCAGTCTTGCTACCACCCGGCGCCGTAGGCGGGATCCGATGTACAGGGTTTCTTTCTCTTCTTCTAACTGGTAGAGTAATGAAATTTTTTCCCCTACAAGAGCAGACTTACTAGGCCAACTCTTGATTTCCACGGGGCGATCGCTGACCCCGGGCTTGGAGCGGGGAGAACCGCCTAGCGACCTGAAAACCAGACGGCGGCGGATCTGGCCTGGCCGGCTCTTAGCTAGGCATCCGGCCGAAACCGGAAACGTCGAACTCCTTCACAGCTTGGGAGGCCCTGCCAGAGTATACACTCGGCTGTGCAACCGCGCGACTTACTTAGGGCCGCATGCACTAACATCCCCGCGGGGAGGGGATCGCAGCTTATAAGAAAGCTTTATATTTCGAAACTCCAGATACCTGGATTTCACGTTGTGTACCTATCCGTAAGTATTCCTATTACCCTTCACTATGAACATGTTGAACAGGAGCGAGAAGCTGTACAAACCGCATTTTCCAACTTTTGTATGATCCCTGATGATCCCTGGCGCTTTTCTTCAAAGTCATTTTTCTTTCTCCGAAGTTAACGAAGAATCTCCAGAGTTGTGCAGATTGTCTAACCCGACAGTGCTAAGCATGTTGCTGCTAAGAACAAATGATGTTTTGAAGTCATGAAATTTGCGATGATCCACAGGTCGAAATTTGAGGCTTACCGAAAAATTCGACTTTTCAAAAACTCATTTGTTCTCATCAGCAACATGCTTAGCACTGTTGTGTTAGATGTTCAGTACAACTTTGGAAGGTTTTCGTTAACTTCGGAGAAAGAAAAATGACTTTAAAGAAAAGCGCCGGGGATCATCAGGAATCATACAAAAGCTGGAAAATGCGGTTTGTACAGCTTCTCGCTCCTGTTCAACATGTTCATAGTGAAGGGTAGTAGGAATACTTACGGATAGGTAGACAGCGTGAAATCCAGATATCCAGAGCTTCAGGATATGAAGCTTTCTTCTGAAGCTGCGATCCCCTCCCCGCGGGGATATTAGTGCATGCGGCCCTTAGTGAAGCGGATGAAGAATTCATATCACGCAATAAGTTAAGCCTATCTAAGTCGTTTGGTAATGAAGAAACATAACTGCAAATTCTGCTAGGTTGTGACCAATTGTGGAACTTCTTGGAAGTACCCAGACCGAAATTCTCCCTCCCATCAGGACTGTACTTAATCCCCTCGAAATTGGGATACTTGATATGTGGAAAACAACATACGGAAGAATTTCAGGATTGTAAAGAAGGAAAAAACCCGATTAGCACAAGAATCAATACTTTAGTCAATTTTGATGATGAACTCAAACAATAGGAAAAGTATTGGACGATAGATTCGTCGGGGGTGTGTGAATTCACCGGTACGAAAAACGCCGAAAAAGCGGCAATCAACAAAAGGGTACAGAATTTCTTTGACGAAACTATTCAAAAAAGACCTTCACAGTTCAGGAAACTCACCACAGTCAGCAGGTGAAACGCCGACTTTAGAAGAAAGCGACGGGGAGGATGCACAGATGCACCATGATGAGGAACACGTAGTGGGCACAGAAGAACAACAGCAACGTGAACCCAAATTGAGCACAGATGACGAAAAGGAAGAACTTGAGCCAGAGAATACACATATGGATGACTCACTACCAGACCTGGTGGAAGACGGCGACGCTTTGGAACTGGTAGATGAGTCATCCAATGGCGAAGAGGAAACAAGGGTCCCTCCACAAGTGGACGAAGCGCGCGAGGAAAAAGAAGAATCAGAGCTTCTGGAGATGGAGGAAGAGAGTGAAGCAATGGTTGAGGAATCAGTGGAAGTCGAAATGATGAGAGAAGGACCACCACCCCTCGTTGAAGAAGAGGAGGAGTTCGATTACGAAGAGGATGATGAGGAGGGGGTGAACCTCGATGAAGTTCGGGTCCGAGAATCGCGGCTGGAAATACAACAGGTGCGTCAAGCCATAGATGACCTGGAGCTAATAATCAAAGACCTCGAGGCTCGCCCAACCTGTCCACCCAGAAGACTCTCTCGGGAGGGGGGGGGGCGGAACCGTTCGGGACTACGAGCGCTTTATGAGATGCGCATTTTGTGGTCAGAAGGGCGCTCATTACTCGGACACTATCTGTCTTACTTGTCCGGTAATACCGAACGGGGCTGGCCGTAGGGAGTACCTGGCAGAACGCAGAAAATGCGAAATCTGCCTAGAATTGTTGTGTCCAGGCGGAAGAGAATGCCGAAAATGGGTTACTCTCTGTTTTCACTGTCGCAGATACGGCCACCATTCGTCCCTCTGCGAGCTACCGGAGGTAAGCTAACCCATTTTGGAGAGGCTGACGTGCGCTCGCCAAGCACTGGAACGCGAACGAGCGCGGCTGCGCAGACTAGAGGAAGAACTCGATGCCTTCATCAACCACTAATCAAGGTGGGGCGGCAGTATCGCGGCTACAAAGCGCGAGCTGCAAGTTACAGTTTCCGTTTCCCAAGCTGCGATATCATCTGAGTTGATCTTTTACAGAATTTAATGCGCCATCGTCACGTCAACAACTTGGAGCGGTGATGGAATTCAAGATATCGAGATCAGTGCAACAACTTCAAGCCGTCGGACGGCATCATCCTGCATCACGTTTTCTCTTGATCATTTTTGATAGAATTGCGCCTTATTTTATTTTGGGAATGCATCGTTTTTATAGAGAATTGCGCCTTATTGTATTTTGGAAACTACGCCTTTTATGCCGCCTAAAAAAGAACATCTTGGAAGCTTAGTCCTTTGCGCGCCAGTATGAAAATTCCTATGACTAAGTTTCTAGCACGCCTTTGACAAAATAATCAATTAGCTAAAGCAATATGTTGAAAGTCAATTTTGAGATGCGCCAAAGAAAATGATAGATCGAGCTTTCACTAGTGTAGTAGCTGTATGTTATTTGTTATATTGCGCCGTCGTATTTTTTATCATAATTGGTGAAAGACAGATTACCCAAGTTTGAGGTTTCCGACAATAAAGTGGTCGAGTGGTTGGTGTTGGTGAACAGTGTGAACCACCGAGCAAATTTATTACGAATACAATATTAGTCTTTAGAATTATCAGTTACTTTTATCATTTCGTTGTTTTTTTTTGCAAAGTTCGAGCTGCGGCGCTGAGAGTTGGCATATGGGAGCAAGCGAGCATGCCGATTACGATGATAACCAATTCAGAAAATACCCATTACTTCTATCGGTTCAATCAATTTTTTTGCAATGTTTGAACCACGGCGCTGGGGGTTGTACGGAGGGCGTGCAGAAGTTCCTAGCACCTTTCCTCGCACCAACTTCGCACCAGCATTCGCACCCAGGAGGGTTCTAGCACCTCTGCATCTCAGAGGTCAAGACGCGCCCATTGCTCCTCCCATTTACTGATCTCATTGTGAGGCGTGCAAGCAGCGAGAACACAGATTCAGTTATTAAAGTAAAAAGAGAAAAAATGGAGAAAAACGGAAGATAGTTACCATTTCTTAAGTGAGGTGGCTTGGAAACTTCTGCTATGCCATCCTTTTGAAAAAGAGCATATGAACATTACTTTAAGAAGAGGAAAATAGGAAATTTTTTGAATGGAAAATCCGATTGTTTGAATGTTCGAAATATTAGAGGCTCTAGTAATACCAAACTAGGATACCAAACTTCGTCGCGTGATCGAAGAGTTGACCAAGAGTTTCAAACACGACATTGAATTTGCAAGGTGCGGTAATTTGTTATTCTTAGATGATTTTAGAACTTGCGTAAAATAAAGTAACGTCTCTGTTATATACCGCGATTGAATGACTCATAACTTCTGCTTAATTTATATTAATGCGATATGTTGCACAAACTTACTCAAGCGCGAGCACTCAAAAGTTTTTGAGGAAGCGTCAATTTAACCGAAAAAAATCAATAAAACATAACTCGAAATTCAGCTGCAGTCGTTTATGGATCCTAAACCTTTTAAAACCTACAAATTTCTTTTTGTTTCTCGATTTCAGTTCTATTATTTTCATATACAATGAAGCATGTCTTGCAGTGCGTGTACACAATTTAGAATGAGGGCACCTAGAGGGAGGAGTGATGGGCGGAGCCGCCCTTTGGCCTTGAGAAGGTGTGATGTTCTCCAAGGAATTTCTGGAAGTGCCAAGTACCCCTGCGAGGAAAAGCGGCTAGGCTTTTGGAACTCCTGCCACGCCGCCGGTTGTACAGGCTGGTAATTGAGCATAGTGCTCACGAACATGTTCTTATTTTACAAGTTATCGATTACTTTCACTTGCTTTATCAATTTTTTGCAAAGTTTAAGCCACGGAACTGGGATTTGGCACATGGGAAAAGCGAGCGTGCCGATTACGATTGTAATAAGTGTTCTTGAAAGTACCTACTATTTCTGTCGATTTTTCTGTTTCTTTGTAAAATTAGAGCTACACCGCTGGTTTTTGGCACAAAGTTGTATGTGAGCACGCTCACTGCGAAGAAGTAACCGTTTTTGAAAATACCCATTACTTTCATTGATTTCATCTTTTTTTAAAGCTGAAGCTACGAGGCTGGGATGGCACCGGTCCGGGGTAAGCGAGCATACTGAGAATTCTATAATCACACTCGGAATTGACGAAGAACGAAGACGGTAAATTTACCTAAAGTTGTTATAGATCCACTTTGGCCCGCCATTACCTTCTAAAATCCTACTTCTGCCCTTGAAATCAGAAAAGCACAAAGAGCCTGGTCTTGAGGGAAGAAAAGGCTTATAAACTGAGGCGGCAAGACATTTTCGCCCGCTAAGAATTTCTACGAGTCAATATCTAATTATACAGAAATTTCCTTAAAATTTACTTCTGTCCCTTCCACTTTGCAAAAACCATACTTCTGCCTCTGAAAGCAGGAAAGTGGTCTCTGGGGATGGACAGACCTATGAGCTTCATCCGATAGGACATTTTCACTGAAACTTTTGGCCCCCAAACTTCGCAAAAACCACAAACTCAAAAACCACACGTCTGGTCCTAAAAGCAAAAAAGACAGGGAGCTAAGTCTCGAGGGAAGAAAGAATTATGGCCTCAGGCAGCAAGATACGCCAGGAGTTTCTGGGGGTGTCAATGATTATATAGAACTTGCTTGAAATTTATTTCTGGCCCTTTTGGTCTCGGGGGGAAGACGCATAAGCTCAGCGAGCAAGATACTTTCGCTGAAAATTTCTGGATGTCAGTGTTTATTCATACAGAAACTTGCTTAAAAGTTACTTCTGACCCTTCTACTTTGCAAAAACCATATTTCTGCCTCCAAAAGTAAAAAAGCACAAAGTGCTCTCGAGGGAGGGGCAGACCCATGAGCTTCATCTGACAAGACATTTTCGCTAAGATGTTTAACCCCTAGACTTCGCAAAAACCAGTACTTCCGCCCCTAAAGGCAGAAAAGCACAGGGGAATTAGTCTCGAGGAAAGAAAGAATCATGGCTTCAGGTAGCAAGATATTTTCGCCAGAAGTTTCTGGGTGTCAATGATTATACAAAAAGTTGCTTAAAATTTACTTCTGGCCATTCTACTTTGCAAAAACCATACTTCTTCCTCTAAAAGCGAAACAGCACAGATAGCTTGGTTTCGAGGAAAAGACAGAACCATGAGCTTTATGCAACAAACATTTTCGCCAAGGGGTTTGACCCCTAGACTTCGCAAAAACCAGTACTTCTGCCCCTAAAAGCAAAAAGGCACAGGGAATTCAGTCTCTAGGGAAGGACAGCCCATGAGTTTCATCCGACAGGACATTTTCGTTAAGACCTTGGACTCCAAAACTTCGCAAAAACCACAAAACTCAAAAACCACACTTTTGGCCCTAAAAGCAAAAAAGTACAAAGAGATTGGTCTCGAGGGAAGAAAGAATTATGGCTTCAGGCAGCAAGATATTTTCGCCAGAAGTTTCTGGGTGTCGACGTTTTATTATACAGAAACTTGAATTCGTGGCCATTCTACTCTGCAAAACCCGTACTTCTACCCCTAAGAGCAAAACGCACAGATAGCTTGGTCTCGAGGGGAAGAGACTCATGAGCTCAGCCAGCAAGGTACTTTCGCTGAGAATTTCTGGGTGTCAATGTTTATTTTACAGAAACTTGTTTGAAATTCACTTGTGGCCATTCTACTCTGCAAAAACCAGACTTCTGCCTCTGAAGGCAGAAGAGTGGTCCCGAGGGAAAGACAGACCCATGAGCTTCTTGCGACAGGAAATTATCCTCTCTGAAAATTTTGGCCTTTTGAACTTCGCTAAAATCACACTTTTGTCCCTGGAAGCAAAAAAACACGGAGCTTGGTCTCGAGGGAAGAAAAGACTCAGGGCTCAGACAGCAAAATATTCGCGCTAAAAAATTTTAGGTGTCAATACTTAATTATAAAGAAACTTGCTAGAAAATTACGGCCCTTCTTCTCAACCATACTTCTGCCCTAAAAGCGGAAGCATGAGGAGCTTGGTTTCGAGGAAAGGAAAGACCTAGGGTTTATGCGACAGGACAGTTTCGGTGACATTGTCCTTCAAAAGAAGGCGTTGGGCCAGTTTTAGTCTGCTCTAAGAAGAGTCCGTTCACTTGCAAGACATCATCGAAAAAATACTGCTTCGCTTTTACCTACATATTCGAGTTTTCGGCTGCTGGAAAACATAACTTGACGCTTCCTTTACATGGTACTTTCCTGAAAATCAATCTGAGTTTTGGGATGAATCGGCTGTTCTAAAACAGGTGCTTGGAAGTAGCTTCCTTGTTTAAGAGCTGTGGTATCTGGGCGAAGGTATCTGCAAGAGGAATAGCAGAGATGCTTTGCCGATAGTCACTAGTAGTAGCTTCTCTTCCTAAGAGCATAGTGTTTTGTCTCTACTACTCACAACACGCGAAAGGTCGCTGGAAAGATGGAATTTCTCTTTCTTGGGATTTTTAGTTAATAAATGGCAGAAATCAATGTATCTGCCCCCACCCACCCACTAGCGACCCGTAGGGTCGCTAGTCTTATATATAAAGCTGAATGTCTGTTTGTCTGTCTGTCTGTCTGTCTGTCTGTCTGTCTGACTGACTGTACAATACCGCTCACAGAATGTGCAAAATTTCCGTGAATGTCGCAGATGAAGGAAGTTACGGCTGGTAGAACTTGGAACAGCTTAATTTTTCCAGAGTTTATCAGCTCTTCTATCTTCTTTGAAAGAGAGTCTTCGGCTGCTGTTTAGCGCAGAATAATCTACTGAAAGAGTACTATCGAAGGGTGCCCACGGCAGTCTCCTATGTTTGATGCTCGTTGCGTTACACCCATGCGAAGAGGCGTCCGCATGCAAATTCAAGATTATTGAAA